GATAAGTGTGAAAGAAGCAAATTATGGAGTGGTTCTTGAAGAAAGCCTGTTCCAGAGTGTTCCTAACCGACAATGACCTGAAGCATACAGGCAAGCCAACGCTAGAGCGACTTTGGGTCAAATCTCTGACTGTCCTTGAATGGCCCAGGCAGCCAATATCATGGAACGTCAGAGGGATCCATCAGGAAGAATGGGATTAACTACCCAAATCTAGATGTGCCAAGCTTGAATAGACTTGAAGCTGTACATGCTGCCGAAGGAACTTCTGCTTTTGTAAATGAGAGATTTCAGGTTTTGATTTTTAATTCATTTACAAACATTTCTAATAACTTTTCACTTTGTCATTAAGGGTTTTTTGGTGTAGATCAATACTTTTATTGACACCACAGTAAGGTCACTTTCGGCTTTTCCTGTTTAGGGGTCACCACAGCGAATTGTCACACTGAATTCTCGCATGTTGACATTTGGCACATGTTTTACACCGGATGCCCTTTCTGACACAACCCTGACTCGAACCTGGGCTGCAGTAGCGAGAGCGCTGCGCCTTAACCACTAGCCTACCAGGGCCAGTTATACATATCTACACCACAATATGGTGTGCAAAAATGAAAGGGTCTAAATACCTTCTGAAGCCACTGTACTACAGCTGAGTGAACTTAAGCAATGTATATGTGAGTGTAGGGACCACTAGTTTTGTTTTTTTGTTGGTTTTTTTTGTTTTGCTCTGTTTTTTTTTAAGTTTATTGTCTAGTTAATTATACTATTGATGTCTGGCATAGGGAGTGACACATAATCTAAAACTTTTAATGATTTGTGTAGCAAATGGGGAAGTGTTTCTCCTTAGTATTCTGTGGAAGAGAAGTGACTCTGAACTCTTTTAAACACTGTCAGTGATCATACTCATGCAGTGTTTGACCTAGCCCTAATCTGGAAGCAGTAAAAAGTACATGCCCACACCCTAACATGCCTGTTTATTGCTATGTATGTGGTGCGTATGGGATAAATATCAGGCCAATGCTAAGTATGAATTTCTGCTGGCTACACCCTTATGACATTTGAGCGCTCTTAATCCAGGCTGAAAGGGAGAATGCTTTACAAATGTTTTTTGATCGTGCAATGTGAGCAAACCATCGTGTTGTTGATCATCCAGGTGACAGAAGACGAAAAGGTCTCCACAGTGAAGGAACTGGTGTCTGAACGTCTCAACATACCAGCAAACCAGCAGCGGTTGCTGTATAAAGGGAAAGCGCTTGCAGGTAGATTTTCCACCAGTCAAGTGTTTCATACCCTTTGTGCGTGGCTGTAATTACTTGATCATCAGTCTGTTTTTTTACATGAATTATGGTTTAACATTTTTGATGATTGCATGCTGTATTGCTTTCCTCAGATGAACACAGACTGAGTGATTACTCCATTGGTCCTGAGGCTAAATTGAATCTGGTAATCCGTCCAGTGGGAGACAGAACCGGAGCTTCAGGGACGGCTGCCAGCGGCAGCAGCAGCAGTGGCTCACACGGTGGAGTGTGGCACATGGTGTTCACCATACTTGCTAGGCACTTCAGTCCAGCAGATGCAGCAAAAGTCCATGAACAGCTCATTAAGGTATTTAAATGCAACATCTACATTCCTAGCCATCAATAATACACAGTTAAATGTGCCAAAGGGGTATCTTTATTGTGATCTAAGCTCAAAGTTTGCTCATTTTTAGATGTGGATAACTGCTGAACAGATTATTGTTCATAATGTTTTTATTAATGGAGGCTGGAAATATTAGGAAGGGCATCATACAATGTAGCTTTAAAGGGTTTTAGCCCAGTTTAAAGAACATATCAAAGTGAGTACAAGATGATAATTTCATATTTTCTGAAAAATTAAGAATATTAATTTTTGACAATAGTTTTCAATTGTCATCTAATCTTTTGCCTCTTATTCATTTAGTAAAAATGCTCCTCTCTAAGATTGGATCCTCCCAAGTTTTCATGTTTATGTCAGAATACATCATAACAGGTCGACAAGGCCTGTCCCATTTCAGTGTCTCTTGGCCAAGACATACAGTCCTCATTTTTGTCCAGATTTGGAGGAAACTGCAAGTTTAGCCTTTGTAGTCTGCTGTATCCACAATCCATCATATGGTAGTTGGTTGTTTTAGTGTCTTCAGGCAAGCTTGGTCAAGTCTTAAAATCTGGATTCAACATGTGATAATATTGTTTTTATCAGATGGTTCAGTACAGTGGCTGAGCTACCACTTGAGTATATCATAGAAGAACACACTTTGTAGAACCTTCAGCAAGGTGTAAATAAGCAAAGCCACAAGCCAACATAAAAATACTTTTTATGGACCCTGTAATTGGAGGTTATATGGATGTCTTCAACCATAAGCTTGGTGAAATGAAACTCAGCTGCAAGTTTGTCCCTGTTTACAACTGCTATTAATAATTTGGCAGTTTCATGGAAACTTCCTGGTCATAAATTTGCAAATGCTTGACTTGCCAAGTTGGTGAGCGCCTCCCATTAACGCGCCATTAATTTTAGTCTCTTAGACTAGATTAGACTTTCTCATTTGGGAAGGAGCTGCCGCCTGATGGATCAGAAAGCTCATAAATTAGGACAAAGTTTATATATGGCTGGTTAACATGATTATGCAGGGTAGTTACATTAACTACACACTGCACTCCTTCACGCCCACCCGTGTAACATACTTAAAGCTATCCTGTATATTTTTAAGTTGCTTCATCTCGGTGTTTTTATTTTGTTTTTCTTCCAGGACTATGAACGTTCTCTTCGACAGCTCAGTCTTGATGACATTGAGCGTTTAGCGGGAAGACTGCTTCACCCAGATGGCGAAAGCATGGACACATCATATATGGACTAAGAATGCCTCGCTGGAAGCTGCTCTTTGTGATCGTCTTTCAAGAGGCACTCGGTGCTTGAGGATGCATACGGTTTTTTTAAGGCATGGAAAATACAGTGTCAGTTTTGTTGCAAAGCCCCTGTTGTGTGCCTAATCAGTGGCTGAGTGAACACTGATAACACTGACTGGCGATTGTTTCAGCAATAGGGCTTTCTTATCCACAACCGGAGGGCTGGATAAGAAAACTTGGCCATTTTGAACTGATTCTTGTCACTGATGTTGCAGTAATGACATAAGACTCAATCACATTGTATTAGAATACAAAGGAATCCATTTATGCTGTTGGTTTCACATTATCTCTGGCTGCTACAACCCCAGGAGACACTACTGGAGGGTATTTATTAGTCAACTGTGTTGGATGAGGACTCTCTGTTTTCTATTAACCATAAGTGAGAAAGTAATACGTTTTATCCCATAAGTAACTGATGGTCATATGATTTGTAAATAATGTTTATAGATATACAGACATTAAAGTACAGAAAAGACCGTTTTCTCTTGTGTTGTCTGCTGATATTTGAGTGATTTGGCAAATGTAAAAAAGTGATGAAGAATGACAGGGAAGGGTTTTAGCTATTTTCTAGTTTAAAACGTAGCGGAGGTTAGAAAAAGGATATGAACTTTGGGTCCCGAGTTGTTTCACGGGGTGGGACTGAATATAGATACTGCTTCACGTCGACCAATCATGTGAACGGATCTGTGATTCATATTTTTTAACCAATCGCATTGATTGAGAGAAATAGGGGTACCGCATATGTAGTACATGACTGCACTACCGCATATGTAGTACATGACTGCACTGACTGTTATTTCTTTTGCTGCTAATGTCGGATATGAATTCGGGTAGAATGGGGTGCTTTTGACGTTTGCACCTTTTCTGCAAGGAGTGGTATACTTTACTGAACATCGGCAAGGTAAGAATGTAGCATCGGCTAAGCTAGCGTTAGCACAAAGCTAGTAACATCGGTTTCACTTCCTGCCTTTCCCAGTTAGCTTTAGCCAGCTAATATCATCAGATAATACCGAGCCCTTTGGCCTGCGTTACCACATCATTTGTTGCTGTGTAACTTTGACGATAGTTCATTGTCGTTGTTGATAATTAAAAGCGGGCCTTTCACTTAAAATCCTACTTTGGTGTGTCATCTGGGAGGATTCTGCACACTGGAAGTCAAACTGATGCTTGGGCGTTAATCCCTCTCATCAGGACCACTTGTCCCTGTGGCGAAGCAATACTGGCTTCCCAGGACAATTTTATTTTTATATTTATCAGCCACAGCCACGGTTCTTCAGTACAGTGTTTTGTTTTTCTTGGAGTACAGTGGGTGCAATCGCCATCCTCATTGGGCTTTTTGATTAGCCTATTCTTAGCTAGCGTTAGTTGTTTTGAATTACTCAAGCCTGCGGACGATTTACGTCATATGATTTACTTTTCTGTAACGTTACTTTCTGTTTGCCCATACACGTTGTTGTTCCATTTTACCTATTTAGTAAGTCTGTCCAGTTTATTGAAAGGATGGAAACCCTGATTCCCACCATCAACCGGCTGCAGGAGGTGTTTCTTACAGTGGGCGCAGAGATCGTACAGCTGCCACAGATAGTCGTGGTCGGATCTCAGGTCAGCCAAGAAACAAGTTTAAATATCAACTTAAATTGCCAATAATGAGCCTGTAAAATCTCTTTTTGAATTTATCAGAGATTAAAGATGTATTATTGTTGTATCGGTAATGCACACACCAATGAGAGAAACCGACTGAATCAGTGTTGTTTGATACATTGCTGAATTGCTCTTAATATGTGTCATAACAGAGCAGTGGGAAGAGCTCTGTGCTGGAGAGCCTGGTTGGACGGGATTTCTTGCCTCGGGGATCAGGAATAGTCACAAGACGACCCCTGGTGTTGCAGCTTATCAATGTCCCCCCTCTGCAGGAGAGACTGAAGCTGGAGAATGGTACACATGTGATTTTGTTTAGTGTGTTTTCCCTGCCAGAGAGAGGTTGTTTTAAATATTACTTTAATCATCCAGTCAGGTTAAGAAAGTTAAGATATTTAGAGTATCAGCAGATTAGAGCAGTGCAGCAGGTTTATCATTTTTGTCTGTGCATGGAATCCTCTTGCAGTACTTTATGTGTGATTAGCTGTTAGCCATGGCACTTTCACTCACCGTTAGAGCCTTGGCCTCTCTTTTTTAACATGTACGTATTTTTTCCTCCTCTTCTTTGCTGCTTCTTCCAGGAAACGGGGTAAAACAAAACACCCAAAACAGATATCCAGGTCTCTGTATATTTGGTCTGCATGGTTTAGCCTAGTCATTTTTTTAACCTTTTAAGACATTTTGTTCACTTTGTTGTTAATCTGTTAACATTCTACATGTTTGAGACATTTCTGTGAAATGATTTTCACTCGCTCTTTATGTCTCTTCAGGGGTCAAGGCTGAAGAATGGGGCACATTCTTACACTGCAAGAACCAGGTACATCCATCTGTGAAAGTGAAATGATGTGCTCACTGCTTTTGTCATGTATCATGTGGTGTGTTAAGCTGATGCCTCGTTGTCTCACCTTTTTTTTTGACAGATCTTCACAGATTTTCAGGAAATTTGTCGTGAAATTGAAGCAGAGACCGAACGCACTTCAGGTGACAACAAGGTGAAGAGAAAGCACTGATGTGCAATGAGTAATGCCTTCGATTTAGATTTTTTACACTCGTGATTTTCTTTCCTCTTCACCTACCCTCCAGGGAATCAGTCCGGAGCCCATATACTTGAAGATTTTCTCCTCCAAAGTTCTTAATCTAACTCTGGTTGATTTACCTGGAATTACTAAGGTAAACTGAGCCACTCGACTAAGAATCTTGTTTTTGTTTTATGTGTGCAAACATAGCGACACAAGATCATAATTAACAGTGACTGTATTGTGTTTCCTGTACTGCATCTGTGCTGTGCTTACTGTAACGTTGGCTGTTTATCGTTGTCGCTTCAGGTTCCTGTCGGGGACCAGCCAGAAGACATTGAGGCTCAAGTGCAAGAGATGATCTTGTCCTTCATCTCCAATCCGAACTCCCTCATTCTCGTGGTGTCCCCTGCCAACTATGACTTGGCCACCTCTGATGCACTGAAATTGGCACGTGAAGTCGATCCAGATGGTAAGATGTGTTGTACACAGGCACTTCTTCTCCTCAGATTTCATTTTAATTGTCTTTCCCTTCCATCAGTGCCTATTACATAACATGCTTCAGGTAGAAATGGATTTTAAATTATTAAATATGCAGGAAGAACACATTATTCTCAAGTCATTTCAGGCTGTTGGACCCATCAGTCTCTATTGTGAACAGCATCCTGGCAGTTAACAGTTGCTTAGAATATTAATGTTGCTATTATGGTGCACTCTGAAGAATGGCTTGATTGATAATGAGAATATGCCTGCAGTAATTGTCTCAGGGGTTTGACAGTATGGCCTAGAAATTCCTGGTGTGCATAGTTATTGTGTACAAGCTGCATATGTGTATCTGGGCCCAAATGTTCCTCTGTTAGCCTCAAATCTTGTCCCATGTGAGATTTGCTTCCTGTTTCTTTTTTGTTATGCCCCACTGAGATTTCCTACTGGCTTTGTCGAGCTAAATGATGACTGAATGGAGGGGGACTGTCAGCTGTTCTTAAAAATGTAATGTTCCCCTGCTGTGTTTGTGTGTCCGTCAGGTCGTCGGACACTGCTGGTGGTCAGTAAGCTGGATCTGATGGATGCAGGGACTGATGCTCTGGAGGTGCTTCTGGGTAGAGTCATCCCAGTCAGGCTCGGCATTATTGGGGTGGTTAACAGGTTTGGAATTATAGTACTGCTTGTCATGTTTGGTGATCAAAGCTTGGTTTTATTTGATTTTAGCTATGTAATGTTTTAGCTTTACAATACAGCATGGTGTCATGTTATTAACCCTGATCACCTGACTCCATTCTCTCTCAACCTAACTGGTGTCCCGCCAAGGAGCCAACATGACATCAATACCCAGAAGAGCCTGGAGGACTCAATGAGGGATGAGCAGGCCTTCCTGCAGCGCCACTACCCCTCACTTGCCTCCCGTGCCGGATCACGCTATCTGGCCAAAACTCTCAGCAGACTGCTCATGCACCACATCCGGGACTGCCTGCCAGACCTCAAAACCCGAGTGACCGTGCTGAGTGCCCAGTACCAGGCACAGCTCAACAGCTATGGCCAGCCAGTAGAGGACCACAGCGCCACCCTGCTGCAGATAGTCACCAAGTTTGCCAGTGATTACTGCAACACCATCGAAGGAACAGCCAGGCACATCCAAACCTCAGAGCTGTGAGTCTGACCCCACTATAGGAGCTTCTTCAGTGAGCAAGAGATGTTTTATGATGACACGTCTTTTTTTTCTTTTTTTTTTAATGTTGTAGTGAACTGACTCTTATTTTCTCATGTTCTTTACGCATCCGATTTAATAGTTATTACACAATTCAGCATACAGTGTATGTCACAAGGGTAATGTCCTTGGGGTAATATTATAAATTAGAGTCTTATCAGCATTTTCTCTTGGCACCTTCATCTCAGCCCTCTTACCACAAGGAGATTAAATTCATGTAAATATGTAGAGAGCAAATATTGACCTTTTTGGGTGATTGCATTTATTTTTGGCATGATTAACATTGCTGACACACAACGTCAGTGTCACAGAGCTGAACCTGTCTCTTCTGCAGCTGTGGCGGTGCTCGCATCTGTTACATATTCCATGAGACCTTTGGCCGCACTTTGCAGTCCATCGACCCCCTTGGGGGTCTGACTGAGCTCGATATCCTCACAGCCATTCGCAATGCTACGGTAATCTTCTCTTAGCTTCTATTTGTGTTGTATTTTTAATCCATACTCGTGTCAAGTTATCTCATTTAGAGGATTAGTAGGTAAATAGTAGAATTACTATATATGTTGGGGGTTTTTTTCCCGTGCAGGGTCCACGGCCAGCTCTCTTTGTACCAGAGGTGTCCTTTGAGTTGCTTGTGAAGCGGCAAATTAAACGTCTGGAAGAGCCCAGCCTGCGCTGTGTAGAGCTTGTTCATGAAGAGATGCAGAGGATCATCCAGCATTGCTCATCTTTCAGCACACAGGTTAGTCACTTCTCCTTCTAGTCTTTCCAAAACAGTGCTATATTAATTATGACGGCACCATGTTAAGAACGTATGTCTCTGTGTTTGCAAGGAGCTTCTGCGATTTCCCAAACTGCATGATTCCATTGTGGAAGTAGTGACTGGATTACTGAGGAAGCGCTTGCCGATTACGAATGAGATGGTAATCTACAGCTCAACTGAGATGATCTTTCTAATTATAATAATCGACAATCAAGTCCTACCAACTGTTTAGGGCATTTTTTTTTCTTTTAGGTGCACAATTTAGTAGCAATAGAGCTTGCTTACATCAACACGAAGCATCCAGACTTCACAGATGCAGCGCAGGTCTCGGCATCTGTCAACAGTCAGCAGGTAGTTATTTGTCCCTTATAGCAGAAGTCGTCGTCTGAGGAGCCTTGACCATTATGTTTCATGCCCACACATTACAGTGCCTTTCAAAATATGTAGTGGGATTCCAAGTTCAGCCAAAATTGCTTTGACCCTCTGATATCTTGTTGTCAGGCCGAGGCCCTTGATGGAGGGAAGCGCTGGAAGAATGAGAAGGTTGCGGAAGAGAAAGCCCCAGCTGGAGGATTTGGCAGCCCCAGCAAAGGCCAGGCTGTTAACCTCCTAGACACAGTGAGTTGCAGGATGAGCAGTAGGACAGAATACTTTGTCTCCAAAGAATTATTGCTGTCAACATTTTACTTTGGCTGTCTCTGCCAAGGCGGTGCCTGTATCCCGCAAGCTGAGCACGAGGGAGCAGAGGGACTGCGAGGTCATCCAGCGCCTCATCAAGTGCTACTTCCTCATTGTCCGCAAAAGCATCCAAGACAGGTTTGAATGGAACAAGTCCAGAGCACCTGGGGGAAACCCTCTCTCCCCATTTCTCCTTTTGTTTCTCCTGTTGAGTTCAATTGTTGTTAATAATGCTGATTGTCTAACTTTGTCTCATGGCTGGTGTCCACAGTGTGCCCAAGACAGTGATGCACTTCTTGGTGAACTTTGTGAAAGAGCATCTGCAGAGTGAGCTGGTGGGTCAGCTTTACAAACAGCCACTGCTACAGGAGCTGCTCATTGAGTCACAGGACACGGCACAGCAGCGGACTGAGGTTGCTCTAATGCTTGAGGTAAAATTGGCTGATGGTTTTGTCCTCTGAATAGGTTCCGAGCATCAAGAACAGCAAGTCCTTTTACTTTTTCCTCCTATTTCGAAGCCAGCAATTTAACTAGCATCTCTTTTTCCTTTCTTTCTCAGGCACTCAAAAAGGCCAATAACATCATCTGTGAAATCCGAGAGACTCATCTGTGGTAGCCAGAGGACACAAACAAGTTCCCTTATTCCCTTGTGACAGGACAGCTTTGAGAGTATGAGAGTGTATGTGATTTGAAGCCAGAGAGTGTGGGCCTGTTTCTATATGTGTGGCGCTACCATTGTTTTGTCATGGACCAACGACCATAGCACATTTAGATCTACTCTGTCCTATCAGCTGTCCATTTGAACAGTGCTTTTCACTGTGAACGTTATATAGTGATAGAAATTAATTAAACACTCAGGATGAAAGTCTTATTGCAAAGTTGAAATGTGAAAGACACAGCTGCGAACAAAATCTTTTTTCATCAGTTTTGTGATATAATGTTTTGGGTCATATGATTCTTGCTCTAAATTATATGTGGAATATTTAGGCTTCTCTTCAGGGCAGGCTTTGGATCAAAATGTGTTCACACTGTACATTTCCACATAGAAGCCGGGCTTCCTTCGAGTCCCGTCAGCAGGTGCTAAAACCTATGTTGGATTAGACGTGTTCCAGCTTTAATCCTCGTTGCTGGAGCCGTCACCAGAGATATAAATGAAGTGAAAATACAACTCAATCAGTGCTCACTGCAGTGCAACACTAAAGACAGACCATGGTCTTACACAGAAATTACAGGATGACTGCAGATTGGTTTTTCTGGCTCTGTTGAGCTAATCAATATCAGGTTTATTTTCCAGAGTCAGATTTACATATCAGCCCATTTATACTGTTAACCACTGCACTTACTTGCCAGTTATGTGTTTTCCTTAACATGGAGACCAAACATTCCTGACAGACGCCTCCCTCTGTCTGTGTGGGGGTTTGAGGAGGCTACTACATAGGGGTGGATGGATACTATGTGCTGTCTAATACTATACTATTGGGGAATTTTTTAATTATTAAAAATTTTCAAAAAAATTGTAAGGAGATAAAATTATAAGGGTCGTTTTATTAGACTTTAGGTCCAGGTGGTATAACTGAAATGTTTTGTAGCTTCTCTTAACTTCCCCAAAGTAATCATTCACTGTTAATGGTACAGAGAGATAAGCCTCTTCTAGATTCCCAACCCTTTGCCTCCTGCATGCAGTCTTTGGTACACTGTAAACCTGTGTCTGTTAACCAGAGCCATTTGCTTTTGTGCCAGTAATCATGTGTAACATTATTTATTGTGTAAAAATATTCATTTTTTCCATCTGCTGTTTCTGACTTGGGTTGTTGTTCTGGCAGGGTCCTCCCTCAAGTGCTTTAGCAATTAATGTGGATCTCTTTCTGTAGCCAAAACAGATTGTTTTCCTTAAAATTAGGCATTTTCATGAAGACCTGCCATAGCAGGAGCATCAAACAGCTCTGGGAGTGATTACCACATCTTGTCTGTCTTTCTGAAAACCCATTGGTTTGCATGTGTATGTTCAGTACCTAGGAGTGGACGTATGAATGAATGATTAATGTATATTTTGTATTATTTAAATGTATATTATGTCAACTGCCTGTGAGTTCTTGCCTGCCAATGTTTGTGGTACATGTTTACTGAATGAAGGCTGTTAAGATGGAAGGGACTCATTAAATCCCAACAAAGGGCACCGCACAGAGTCTGTTTGGGTGTTATTGACGACATGCATAGCAATTGATTGGTTTTCATAAAATCTGTTTGTCTCCTGCAGCAGCAGATGTGATTAGACTTGCTCTGCTTCACTTTATTGATCTCAAGTGACTGAAAAAGTCTGTTTGTTTGGTCGGATAGGTCTGTCACAGGATGAAAACCGTGTCCTTAAGAGTGCCGACACACACATTGTTGAGGTGACAATCACCAGTCTCCAAACTTCTTATTGTCTTTGTCTGACTCCACACTGCACCAGCTACACAGAGCTATGTTTCACTTGTTATCCACTCCCATCTACATGATGGTTGGTTACCTTTTGTTGTCAATTCAAGTTAAACCTGAACAGGATGAGAAGTGAGGTGATGGATGAGTTGAATGCGGCATGTAAGGGGGAGAGCTGCCCATTAATGTTGTGAAAGTGTGAGTGAGGGCACTACGGTCCAGGGAAAGGCATTATTAGCACAACTAGGCAAACACAATGGTCAAATCAGTGCTGAATTTACAAACCCCATTAAGCATTAGTAGTGCTGTACACACAGCAGTCAAACCGTATCTACAATAGAACACCAAATTGAACGAATTCAAGGTGTGACAGCACAGACCTCAAAAATGAAACCCATTTCTGGTAACTGTTTTAAATTGCCTGCACTTGGTCTCCAACTGTAGCCAGTTATGCTGATCATCCTCTTATAACACCCCACCAACTGAGACTAGGCTGGACCATACCAAGTATGGGAGGGGGCTGGACTGCAGCATCGTGAAAAACCGCATCATTTTGATTGCATAAAACCAGCTGTATTACATTGGCACCAGCCAACACCATTTCGTGGTTCATTTATAAGATCTCTATGTGCTTTCTTGCCTTCTGTCAGAGGTGTGCACAAGGTTTCTGGCTACACTCGCCCCCTCGTCTCTCTTCCACCGGTGAGCCAGTCAGCATAGCAGGCTGAACAAAGCAGAGGGAGAGAGAGTGAGAGGAGCTTCTGGGAAGAAATGTCTCTCACTGACTGTCGCCTGGACAACCGGGTAAGAGAGGAGGGTAGGGAGCGTGAGGGAGAGAGAGAAAGAGAGAGAGTAGAGAAAGGACCAGGAAGCATAAAAGGACAAGAAAACAACACATTATTAACTGTGCTGTGATTAGAGGATTCCTGTGGAGTGTGGGGAGGAAAGTGGATTTTTGTGTGGTGTTCTCTAGTGAGGGGTCCTCTAGTGTATTTCGCTCTCTTGGTGTGTTATTAACTATAACAATAAAGCAGTGAATAATTTTTCCCCATACCAGAGCGCGGAGGAAATGAAAATTCAGAGCACAAGTTCAGCACATCACAACTGGACCCAGTAGGCCTGAACGCTCCACCTGTGTTTCTTGTCTCCTCAGCCTCAGGTAAGACTCTCCTCGTTGTTGCAGACACTCGCTTAGGGGGGGATTTTGTTTCTGACAGATTTACTGATGACAATATTAAATACAGTAAACTGTGCAGTTATCCAGAAAATGAAAAAGTCATGAATTTTTAAAAAGAAATCAATAAAAGCTGGTCCTGTTTGCCCGCAGACAGCTTGGAGTAAAGCGTTGTTCATCAGAGTGAAGTAGGTAAGTTTGGGCAAATCGGCTTCATTGCCTGTTTGGATTTGTTGATTCTTTTTATATTCCAGTTGTCCTACCGGAGAGAAACTACCTTCAGTATAGTATGTGGCTTTGTTACGTTTTTATTCAGCAGATTCAGAGATATTGCATGGTACATCCCCAGGATGCTTCTCACTGCGTGCACTGAGAGCTGTGCGCGCCCTTCAGCGAGAGCAAGAATTCATCGACGATAAGAAAATGAACACTGTTGTTTGGTGTAAATAGATCTCTAGAGTTTGACTTGAACCGTGGACTCCATCTTCACGCTGCGTAATGAATAGGAAGGCACGTCCGCTATAAACAGACTGCTGAGCGCTCATGCATAAGGAATATATTCATAGAGCGCTGGTGCTGAAATCAATGCCCCTTTAAATGAGGTGGTATGCTGGCTGAGTTTACACCAGGCTGAATGTGTGTGGGGCAGGAGGCAGCATGTGATATCCATATTGGATGAGATGGAGAGGAGATAAACTGAAGGGGGGGCGAGGGGGTGTATTGGGGTTATTTTTAGCTGCTGTCACTAATGAAGGTTACAAATCTCTTCCCATTGTGGACAAGAAGTGTAGAGAAAATACAGCAAGACCAGGGGAAGAAAAGGGCAAGAGGTCGAGGGATGGAGAATGAGAGGAGGGCTGATGGAGAGATGATGATAGGTGAAGGGTTCAGGCTCACAATGTGCTGGGATTGCTCGGAGATCCCCTCACGTATCTGACAGAATCCAAAGATGTAGTGGAGGTTGAAAACGCAGACACTCACCTTATCCGCATTTTTATTGGAGAAAAAATACATACAGAAAAATGTGGTCTAGTAGAATGTACAGTTCAACCTTCTTTTTGCTCAGCACTATGCATGAGACAGCCCAAAACACAGCTCCATGCTGCACAACACAGTCCATCAAATACAGCTGTTGTACTTCCAACAAGCAGGCAGGTCTACAGCATGACCACCTGGACTGCACCCGTTTAAAATATAAAATAACATTAATAACAAAAACTATGGAAGAAGTTCTCTATTGAGTCACAGACCATACAAGAGCAGGTTAACATCTTTCAAGGGAGTATAGGCTACAAAGTATCATACCTCCAAACCTGCAAAAAGTACAATTTTAATTAGATAAATGTTGTTTTGATTGTTCATCTCTTGTTCAGTTTGAGTCTATAACTAAATTACAGATGATAAGAACAACATTCTGTAAATGTAATACAGTCAGATTTTTCATTCCAGTGACTACAGAAAGCAGAATGTCAAATTGAACTCCGTTCTTAATCCACACCTGTGCAGGGTTTAAATCGACTGTTCTCCTAATCTTTGCAGAAAAATGGTTTTGTTGAACAATTTTGGCAGCTTGTAAACACATTAGTTATAGCAGGCTCTGCGTTGCTCGCAGTGCTCTGCAGCTATACACCGCTCATAATCGTTGTACATGAGGTACAATGTTTTTGGATGCAAAGAAACGTCAGATTCATCAAGGAGAGTGAAAAGGATGGGTCCCCGAGGCTGTGTTTTTCCTCCACTGTACCTGCATGCTGTCTGCTGAAATACACTAGGCAATAGAGGATTAGGATAAAGCATAGAGCTTGGCCTGACTTTCTAATAAGCAGTAAGTCTGCCTGTCAGTCTCTAATGAGTTCCTTGAACTGTCACATTTTGAAATCTACACCACTGATCAGCCTGTTTTGATGCTGAAATTGACAGAAATGGAGCTGTAGAGATGTGGCGATAGTTCTCTTGTTTAGATTTTTTCCATGAATATTAAGCAGCAGAAAGCGCAGTTTCTTCTCACAGATGTCTGAGGTGCTAGTCCTTTATTTGATGGTTGACAGTTGTGGTGTGCGTCTTCAGTCAGTCCCCAGGCTTTCTCTCCTCTTTTCTACTTCTCTCATCATATTTCTGTGCTTGTCTTTGTGCCTCCTCTCATGTTCTGTTGATCAGCGAGCACCAACGTCTAAACAAGCTGGAGGGACAAAGATAAAATCTAACGGGATTACAATAAAATAATTACCTAATATTAATAGAAATTTGAAATATTAATATCTCATGTTTCTTAAAGATTGGCCACATAATAGGCCCTACTGCTTCAACAGAAATCTGTTCAGTGGGGGGAGAGCGCCTTGCATTGTCCCATTACAGACAACAACATCATAATGCTCATTTTGGAATAGCAGCCAACACACAATATGGAAATTACTCCCCGCATATTAAATCACATTATTTTTCTTGTGCTTTTAAAATTATAAAGCACTGTAGTCCATAGGTAACTGAAAATAATCAGCTCACTTTATTGCACCATTTTGTATCTGTTTTCTCTCTTTAGAAGCAAATTTAATGATGTTATCCTCTAAACCAGCAGAACGTTCATGTTCACACTGTGTGAGCTGATGCTGGTGACATTAAAGGGTGGAGAGGTGTACTGTACTGGTAACACCTTTTCTGTGCAGGAAGACCAAGTGTGCATATTAAAAGGACATTCCAAAGAATATTCAACACAATGTGGATCGCTTAGTTTTCAAGGTTTCACATTTTTTGTTGCGTTCTTCAAAAAAGGAAAACTGTAAAAAAACTAGTTCAAGACCTGCAGACAGTTGTTAGCATTAGAAACTGCGGAGCACAGGCTGTTAATGGTCATGAAGCATCCGTGAGATCCAACTGGACTATGACTTTATGGACACAGTGACCACACAGGAGGTGATTTTCTGCAGCAGGCATGGGCACATTTTTCTGCCTAACAACACTATGAACTCAACTTTATTCATGTATAAGAGTGCAAAGAAAAATCCCATAAATTATCAATGCTTCCTTAATCATTTTTACAAATACTGATGAAATTGTAGAATTTGTATTTATTTATTTTTTTGGATGAAATTTTATGTCAGCTACAGAGCTGAGCACAGCTATCTATTACACATAACCGTCTTACCTAGCTGACCTTAAAGCACTGTTCTAAAGAGAATGGATAAATTGCTGCAGTTAGCAAGCTCTCTGCCACTTAAATACAAACTGTCTGCAATATCTTGTGTGTAGAAGAGTGGAAAAAAGTGGCGCCTATTGACACTATTCTATTAGTCAAAGGCTGCCCGTTACAGGAGATAAACCCTCTCTTATTCCACAACTCTGTCTAATATCCCACTCACTCTTCTTGTCAGTAATTAGACAAGTGAGATGATTTAATTTGCTGCAGAGCAGGCACAGCTACCCCGACTGCTGATATGTAGAAAGCCACTAGCAAGCATTTTCTGGGGGATGATGGCTTGCACACACTGAAGAAAGAATTAGACCACGGCTTGTAGTCTGTCTCACTCCCAAGCTCTTAAGATCAGCATCTTAAAACGGGATCCAAGCCAACCATTTTCTTTTATACATTACTGAGAAAAAAGAGGTTCCCCTCCTTAATTTTCTCCATGCGAGCTGACTTTGGAAGCCTCTTGCCAACAGCTGCTTGAGGACAGACTTCATTTCCATGTCCTTGCTCAATGACTGCAACTTTAGAAGTTGCCTTGTCCTTCATTTTGTCAGCTGCTGGTAGCTCATCTTCACCGAGAACAGAAAGGGCTGCTACTTTAGGTGAGTAGTGATCAAGTTGTGTTATGTGTCCTTGACAGGTGCTAGCATGGAGATGGAAGATGAGCCACTGTTGTTTCAGACCAGCTGGGTAGCGGAGGAGGAGGAGGAGGAGGAGGAAGAGGATGAAGTAATGCATGCAGCAGGACAGGGCTGTTTCTCTGGGGATGCTGAGGTATGTGGAGTGTGGAGGGCAGTGGCATGGGTGTACACACAGCCCTGGGCCAGTGGAGTGGTTCTAGGGGTGGTTGTCCTGCTACCATGTACCCTGTTTGCCTACATGCTCCTCTACTGCCCTCCTCTGGACATAGACCTCTCCTACAGTGCCTTTGAGGTTCACAGTCACTTCTCTGCCGAGCGCTTTGACGCCCTGACCATTGCTGTGAAGTCTCAGCTGGGGTCGTGGGACAGACGTAGGCGAGACTTAGATAACAGCGAGTCTGAGGCCCTGCGGGAGCTTCTGTTGGAGAAGCTGGGCAGACAGGGAGTATTCAACAGAACAGCTAATGAGGGCACAATGTCCTCCACTTCTAAAAACGAGCCCTTTCGAGCAGGAGATGATAAGAAGAGAGGACTTGCAATGAGTAGAGATAAAAGTACTGTGCCTGATTTGGGTCAGGAGGAAATGAGGAAGCGCAAGAACTCAAATCACAGAGAAGAGGGTGAAGAGGAGAGATCATGGGATGGAAATTCTACTTTGCCCCTCATTAGGAGGCGCAGGTTTTCTTCCAATTATTACTTGCAGAGCCAGGCACTGTGGAGAATTGAGCTGGTGTTTGTAGCTCAAGGAGAGGGAGATCGCAACATCTTCACCCCAGAACGTCTGCAGACAATTCACCACGTGGAGCGTTTGCTCATGCAACACCCACAGTTTCATCAGTTCTGCTGGAAGCCTCTGGAGGTGTTGAGGGATCTGCCACTGGGACCATCCTACTGCTCCCCACCCAGCTCACTCCTGTCTTACCTCTATCCCAGTGAGAGAGGAGGGAAGATCTACTACGATGGCATGGGTCCAGACCTGGCTGATATTCAAGGTGAGGGCTCAGACAGGAAGGTGAGAAAAATGACACATTTTCAGGATTAAGAACCACCATCTAATTTTGTTGATTTACCTTCTGTGTATTGTAGGTTCTCTGAGTTTGGCCATTACCCACCCGCAGTTCTACTGGTATGTGGACGAGAGTCTGTCCCCTGAGCATCTCTCCTCCTCTCTCTTACGCAGTGAAATCCACTTTGGAGCTCCTCTTCCTTCCTACTACTCTCTGCAGGACCGAACCGATGAGCAGAGAACTCGCTTCAAAAATTTTGTGGTTCAGTATGCAGATATCCTGGCCAAGCAGTCTACAAGGTCAGGAAAACATACTGCAGTATTGGCCAATACCACATCATCATTTCCTTCCAGAGGTTTTAGTTTGCTGCATTGTAGACATGTACTGGACATCGTTGCAAACAGTCAATGTTATTTTGTGTGTGCTTCTCATGTCCCAGCCAGGTGAAGGTGCTGTATGGGGGAACAGAGCTGTTTGATGATGAGGTGAGACACACCTTTCACAATGATATGATGCTGGCTGTCATCAGTGGAGCCTGCATTACTGTGCTCGTCTATGTCCTTACCTCTTTCTCCGGTACAGTATGACCTGGTTCTCATTGCACTTATATTAATGTATATGTATTTCAGCGCACATTTCTGGCAGCATATATGCATGTTGATAATCTCCTTGTTGTTTTCTTCTCTCTGTAGTCTTTCTGACTTTCTTCGGTTTGGCCAGCATTGGACTGAGCTGCTTGATGGCTCTCTTCTTATACCATGTTGTCTTTGGTGTGAGGTACCTGGGCATTCTCAATGGAGTGGCGGCCTTTGTTATTATTGGTATTGGTAAGGCAAAAGAAATTCACTGTTTGCTTTTTTCGTTGAAGGCATAGTTTTTCATTTTGAGAAATATACTTGTTTGTATTTCATGCGGAGGCTTAGTTAAGAAGATTGATACCATTGTCATGTATGCATGGTAGATGTGAAGCTAAAGCCAGCAAAACAAGTTTATTTATATAGCACATTTTCATACACAAAGGAAATTAAAAGTGCTTAACACAATGCACACAAATAGATAAAATGTTCAAATGCATAGCTTAGTGTCAGGCTACTAGCTGCTAGCAGTAGATTCCCATTTCCAGATGTGAGAGTGGTATGAGTTGTCCCACTGAGGGGTATTTGATCATGTTATGTGTAATTCAAAAACAAACAGCTCATATAGACTACATTGAAAATATGGGCCCCAAAGTACAACATCAGTGCAACAAATGTCAGTTTGCCTGTGATCTCCAATTCAACAAGGTTATAAAATAACCTGTGAACACCACAGTTTTCTCAGTTTCGCCTTAGTTGTGTCTAATTCAACATGATTCCATAACCGTAGGAACTGACTGAACAGGTGGTATTGTGAGACTTCCTAAAGATATGAGAAGGTACAAGAGCGTCATTAGGCTTCACAGTACTGAACACGGTTGCAGCAGCGGTTAGGAGGTATAGGAGGAGTCATACAACCAAGCACAGAATGCAGTGTCCGTCCTTGAAAAAAGATGCCACGTATAATTCACTATTAAAACAGAAGAAACGCAGAGGTAAGGGCTTCTGTCTAGGTAAAAGGATTATCTCTGGAAATTGGTGTTTCAGTGACTGCTCAGACAGTGCAAAGGACACCGCATTAATTCAACCTGTACAGATGGTGTCCAAGAAGAAAACCGCTGGTCACAGAAAGGCACTAAACTGCAAGGTTAAACTTTGCCAAATACATGAAAAAGAAGCCTGATGAATATTGGCAACACATTATTTGGTCAGATGAAACCAAAATAAATGAAGTTGGATCAGATGGGCTCCAGCACAGACCTGGCCAGGATGACCACAGTGACTGCATAGTGCCAACCAGGAAATACGGAGGCGTGTGCTTAAATACAGAGTAAAATTTACACAAGTTTTTAACGAAGAGAAAACTACGATCAGGCCAAGTGTGTCCCTTAAGGTGAATCCAACAGAAAACTTCTGGAATAATTCAAAGCTGAGGGTAGAGCAACAAAACCCTGTGTGAAGAATGGCAGAGGTGCTTGTGAGCATTAATCTTTCAATACAGTTTAATTAGTCACATATTTCTGAAATTACTTTGTGGACCCAAATTTGTAACTGTGTAACATTTTAGTGATATCGAGTTGAGTTGTACTCACTTTGGTTGTTTACTGTAAGTATATTTCCCAGTAGCCCATTCCCAATGTCAAACAATTTGAAACCCATTTGAAATATGTAATAACGCAGCTTGGTTTGCTTTCTCATTATTTCTTAGGGGTGGATGATGTATTTGTGTTCATCAGCACCTTCAGACAGGCGTCTCACCTGCGTCAGCCACGGCAGCGAATGATCTACACGATTAAAACAGCTGGCCGTGCTACTTTCCTTACCTCCTTCACTACTGCAGCTGCCTACGCTGCTAACACCTTCTCGCAGGTAATCATAGAAGAGAAAGTTAATAGGATCTCGCAGGAAGTATAAATGACTCCCCTGCTACGGATGAATAGAAGTGCTTCTCTCAGCAGACAGCCATGTTCATGCGATAAGCACAAATTGAATGTTTCAAGCTCCTTTACACTGTGCTTCGTTTCACTGACACTCAGATCCCAGCCGTGCATGACTTTGGACTATTCATGGCCCTCATTGTCAGCTGCTGCTGGCTTTGGGTGTCTGTCCTGATGCCAGCCACCCTGTGTATATGGACTCAGTGTGTGGAGCCTCACAAACATGCCTGGTCGAATTGGTGAGACATTATTTTTTTACTTTTGTAAGATATTATTTGTGCTCGTCATGGGAGAGATGTGATCCCTTCAGCTGTCTCTCTCCCTAAACTGCCTCCTCCCTCTGAAGCTGGAAGCTGTTTTCAGGCCTGTCAGTGAGCCACAGCCCTTTGTCAGATGAGGATGATGATGTGGCACTTCTGTCAGTAGAGATGGAACCAGGTGAGATTATTATCTCTCTAGCATCGAATGACTAATGGGGGGAGAATGGCAGAGTGAATGAGCCAAGGCTGTAAAATGCTGCACCACTAAAGCACTTGTCTTTGTCTCGGCCAGGCTCCTGTGACATAGACGGCGATGCAGCCATTCTGTCCCTATCAGTGGAGATGCCTCTGTCTCCTCCAGGGCAGCAGCATGTGGGTGTGGTGAACACAAATCTCCAGTGGGCCCTGAAGCATTTAGTGGCAGAGCCGGCCGTGGAGCAACGAAAAGCTGTGCTAGGTCAAATTTGCTATAAACTCTGAGAACATGGCTAAGCTCATTTTATAACCGGGTTCAGGGTGAAATTCATCTGTTTTTTCAGATATTTTCTGCCAAGTTCATGATGTATGATTCACACATCAGCGTAATATCTCTGTCTTGAGGGAATTCAGTCTGTCCAGAGGAAGAGTAGGTCCCTCTCACAAAGTATTGATCCACCCTTTTCAGCAGTGACTTTGATTGATCCCTGCTCCTGATCTGTCCCTCAGCTGCTCTTTCTACTCCTTCAGACCCTCCTCTCTGCCATTGTTTATTATTGTCTTCCTGCTGGCTCAGGCATCTTCCTCCTGCTTCTGTTGTTATCGGCCGGGTGCTGCTGTCTCCTGAGGCCTGCCACTCACGCCCCTCTACTCTTCCGCCCGGACACGAACCTCCAGACTCTGCTGGCACTGAGGAGCAACCTCAGTGGTCAAGGCATCTCCTGCCCCATGTGCTCAGGTGAGACTGCGTCCATGATGGAGGACTACTCACCAGTTAATCATACCAAAAATATCTGAGATGCATATTGTGTCCTGCAGGTGTGTTCATGGAAAAGCCCCACGCTTTGAACACCCACACGTACTCATCAGCATTTAAGTTTTCTACACATCAACAGGCCACCAGCTCAACAACCTCTGCTGTTCCTCGGAGCTCAGTGAAGCCAAATTCGGGCACCAACCAAACAAGTAAAACATTCAACACTACTACTCCTTATTTTCAGCCTGTTCCATGACTATAAAATTTGGCACTTTGCACTGTGTTTATAGGCTCTTTGCTGACCGTGTACATATCAAAGTTGGACCTTGGAACCTCTACAACCCTTTACCGGTGCTCCCTCAACATCAGCACTCCCTCCCTGTGGAAACCGTGCAGCACAGAGATTCAGGAGGTGCCATCATTTCAGGTTTGGAAGCAGATCAAGTCAACTTCATGATTTCTGTTTTTATAATTAGTAGAAGTGTTAAGTCTCCCAACTGTAATATGTGCCCCCAGAGCAGCTTATGGCTAATCTTTTTTTTTTTTTTTTTTATTGTAATAGGCATATAATCAGCCCTGCAGCAATTACACCACCAGAATGACAGTGTGTGTTACCCATGTGTACCACCCGTACCCCAGCTGGATGATCACGTCTGGCTCATGTGACCCCCATCATGGCTGGACGCCAGAGTTTTCCTTTTATGTAGCAGCAGTTACGCAGCAGCACAGCAGGTGAAAGCACAAAGGGGAAAAATACGAGTACAATTTAGATGTACTGTCATGTTGTTTTAGTGGGGCATCTGTCATTTCAGCTCTGCTCTCTCTTCGTAGACGGCTTTACTTTGCACAGCGCCGCCTGAGACCTCATCCCAGCAGAGTGTGTGTCAACCCACCTGGCTGCGGTGTCAGTTCTGGGCCTGATGGGCCCACACAGGGAACCTTTTATACTCCTCTTCCCAGTGGTGAGCAAGGAAGTGTCACAGTGTCAGAAAGCCTTGTTAACATAAAGACGGTTTGTTAACACATCAGGAAAACTGTTGTCACACTGTGTGTCACACTGTAAAAAATGCCTTATTCTCAGGTTGAGTTTTAAAAATAGAGAAATACAGTGGTATGACACTTTACAAAATATCATTTCTTAAAGTGGCACACTCTGGAAAATTGGCTAGAGGGCTCACATTATTGTAGTTGTACAGATACTTACACAGCATGGATACTTGTCCTTGAGGGACTTTTCTCTGGTTCTGTTTTCAAAGATCCCTCATCCAGTGCCAGTATGAAACCATCTAAAACATTTGGCTTCAACCCATGCAGTGGTGGTGTGTGTGGCCGCCCAGCGGTGCGTCCTCTGGTCGACACAGGAGCTATGGTATTTTTGGTGTTTGGGATTCTGGGAGTCAACCGAAGTGAACACAAGGACAACCATGTTATTGGGGATATGGTGAGGATCACATCTATTTATCTATCTATCGATCTGGCTGTAGATAGATATAGAAAGCCAGATTTGAAAATATTTTTTTCATAATGTTGCCATGTTGTTTAATTTTCTCTAAAGGGCAGCATTATATTGGATCCAGACTTTGATATTTTCCAGGAGATGGGGCATCTTTGCAAAATCTGTAAAGCTGTTAGTGCAAACAGACAGCTTGTGAAACCAGGAGGAGCACAGTGCCTGCCTTCAGGTAACATCCGCACACAATTCACCATGAAGCATAAAAGGATCATATAAAGTATGTAACTCCGAAAAATCTACTTGATAAATCAGTGTGTTAATTGGTCATCAAGCAAAAGTACCAGTACAAAACAGAAATATAAAGTACTTAACAACTGGGTAGAAGACACTCAGTGAATTTTTTATGCATTCAAATGAAAGCTTAACAGTCTAATAAAAAAATCATACTTAGAGGACCATAAATGCTCAGATAAGTGCTTTAAAGGGTTTGTTCTTTCCTCTGTTCCCCTCAGGCAACAAGCTGTCTTCTGTACTGCCTCTGCTCCATCCTGAGTGTCACTCTCTCCCTGAACCCAACCTGCTCCCAGGGCAGCATTCCCACGGAGCAGTGGGAATGCACGGAGGCAAGGTCCGCTGGCTGTCTATGGCCTTTGAGTCTGTAAGTGCCTTTTCAGCTTTTCATCTTAATGCATGAAAGCACAGCACGTATCAGAGCTGGTTGTCAACCCTAATGCTTTGCCTGTCCTCTCCCAAGACCACGTACAAGGGGAAATCCTCCTTTCAAACCTATTCTGATTTCCTTCAGTGGGAGAACTTCATCCAGGAGCAACTCGCCAGCCTCCCGCAGTCTTCTGCTCTGCAACGAGGCTTCCAGACCTGTGAGCACTGGAAGCAGATATTCATGGAAATCATAGGCAAGTGAGAGGTGGCAGGCACGTTAAAGAGATGTGGGGTTTTCTTCTGGAATTTCAAGATGGATTAATAGGCAATAGCGAGTGAGAGCAGCTGCATGTAAAAATCTAATAAAATACTGGTCTTTGTAGGTGTGGAGAGTGCCCTCTGGAGTCTGTTACTGTCTCTGGCCATCTGCGTGGCAGCTGTGTCTGTGTTTACTGCACATCATTTACTGCTACTGCCAGTACTCATAACCATAGTAGGTAAGAGAAGAAGTGGTACATTCAGGTTTCAAAATGACCTGCTGAGACACCCAAAAATGTGTCTTAAAATGAAATATTCAGGCCTAGGTTGCGATCATGTGTATGTAACTCTGAATTTATGGCCTTGAACAGGTGTGATCTGTCTGGTGGTGGCAGTCATGTATTGGCTGGGCTGGGAGATGGGAGCAGTGGAGGCCATTTCTCTGTCTATACTTGTTGGATCTTCAGTGGATTACTGCCTTCACCTGGTGGAGGGGTACCTGCTGGCTGGGGAGACCTTGCCCTCTGTGTTTGGTCATAATCTGGTAGGGGAGTTTAAATTTGTTTCACAGCAGCACGTATGAGCAATTAGAGAAGCTTCCACACTTTGTCTTGTGTTTAAAAACATGTTAAAAGAAGCTAATGACTACGATTTTGGAGTTAATAAGGAGAGGAGCGCTGTGAAGGCTCATGAATAAAGAGGAGTGGCTCGTCCCATTAATCTGCCGTTTTGCTTGCAGGAGCCTCCGGCTGAGAGACGGAGGCGGACCCTGGAGGCAGTGAACCATGTGGGCGTTGCCATAGTGTCCAGCGCCGTCACCACAGTGATCTCCACTGTGCCTCTCTTCTTCTGTGTCATTGTGCCTTTTGCCAAGTTTGGCCAGATAGTGGCCATTAACACCGCCGTTTCCATTTTGTTTACCCTGACTGTGACTGTGGCCCTGTTGGCGTGCATGGCCCCTGCCCACTTTAATAGGCCGCCCAGTGCTGTCCTGAAGGCCAGCCTTATTGTGATGGCGGCCACAGCTGTGGGAGCAGCTTTGTGCTGGATAGGAGGACAACTGGGAGCACTGGCCTGGCAGTCAATCAGCACATAAACACAACTGCCCATCAATTCATAGTGATGTCAGGTGGAGGAGTGCGTCCTCAGTACGCAAAGCTATGAGAACTGTTAGCACTGTATTTTCCTCCATGATTATGAGGAATATCAGATCAGTAATTGATCTTGTACTTTACAGCACAAAGATGTCAGAATCAACTCCATAATTAACAGTTTGTCATCAGAAAAGACTTGTTTTTTCACTTGTATTGATCAGTGGATTGAAAGTATTGGGAGAAATTCTTACCCGCTGGGGTATTTTTTCTAAATTATAGTGTAAATGGCTATGTGAGTCAAAGTAGGGTTGACATGATGATTCAGGTTGAAGTATTCTTCTTCTCGCCCTCAACCATGAGTTGAAGATGATTGAGTAACTGTTGGGAAACACTGGCTGAGTCACAGATTCTCATCAGCGTAACGTACCGAGCTGTGAAGGGGTACTGACTGTTCTGTGACTCGCTGTGGTGAATGCTGTCAGAATTCTTTCGTCTGTGAAGATTAGTGTTCACAGTGGTCATTTTGTGAAACATCTCGCTTGTTAAATTATTTGTGTTGTCTTAATTGTGCATTGAATTATGTTTTCAGCCACATTTGTAACAAAGGTTATGATGTCCTGCTGTGGCTGGATTAAAAGTTGTATAGGCCAAATTTATACTGTGCACAGTTTTGTTAAATGTAACTGTGTGATGTAAATGTCTCAATGTGCAGCTTTCATACATTCTGCTGAGGAAGTGTGAATGCCAGTACTCACCACAAGATCTTTTTTCTCACCCTCGCCACATGTTTATATTTTAGACCTCAAACTGCTTCAAGGTCTCTATTTTTGTCATCAGCACCAATTGAAAGAGACCTCTTGTCAGCTCCTCAGGTGTACGCTCTACACGCCCTAGTAGACACTCACAGTAACCCATTCTGATACCCCTCCCCACAACTCTCACACAATTTAGAGCACCACTCAAACATCGATTGATGCCAGCTCCGGTCCACTCCACAGTGAAGGTGAGGGGCCATTTGTCAAACCGCATAACACAATAATGGTTAGAGAGAGGGACTGACTCAGTTGCAGCAAGAGCAGTAAATTTCTGTTCTGTGCGAGTGTGTCTGTGTGTGTGCGTGTGTGTAAGTTACTTGTGGATGTCAAATAAAGCAGGTGCACAAAGCCTCAGGTCTTTTCTTTTGTGGAAGCTCAGTACTGTTTTCTCCTGCATTGTTATGTAACAGTGCAGGGGAGCAGAATGAGGACCTGTCACCGTTCACTTACAGCCATATAATCCCTGGGAGAGCTACAGCAGACAGTGCCACATCTCCAGTTGGCTGTTGTTAATTATTCATATAAAATGGCTCAGATTTAACATTGAACTGCAGCGCCGTAATGTTTAATGGCTTTCCTGCTGTGATGGAAACAGCAGGAACAACAGTGGGAAGATGTAAAATATTTTGAGTAAATGCAGAAAAACCATACCAGAACTTTCATTCTGGAGAATCCTGTTCATTATTTTACAGAAGGAGCAACAAATTTATTATGTTGCAGCAGAATAAGAAATCAGCTGTTAGCACCAGGAACTTCTTTAGAGTTAATGGGCCATTTTTACACAAGCTCGTGTTTCATTTTCTTCTACATAACAAGTATGTGCAGCTGGTGTATAAAGACATAATTTGAGAAATGAAAAGTTTATTTTCTGCTCAAGAAATAGCAACATAGTTTTCTCTTACTTAGCAAAGACACTTCCTTTTGACCATTGAATGACAATGCCAACTCTAATGTTTTTATTTGTATTACTTCTCTGTCTAAGTAGGCATATGACTTTGCTGCATTTACTCTTGATCAAAATGAGAAAGGGCACATTTCAATCAGTGTAGTAAAGGTACACCAGATTACACAAATCCAAAATACAGTACGTCATATATGTAGATAATCAAACAAAGAATTGGACAAATACTGTATGTGAATTTCCATCACCAAAATAAAACAAATTTAAGTAAAAGAGGTAAAATAGTTGGACCTTTCAGAATAAAAAAAAATCCTTTATAAAGGTGAACTTGTCTTGATCCTTTTAAAATGTATTTACCCAAACAGCTTCTCACCCAGACTGCAGTCTTGTTATGTTTGTGTATATTTGGCGGTAGTTTCTGTTGGGTTAAGTAGAGTGAGAACCCCAATTTCAGTCGTGTCACTCTCGACAGTTTCCTGTGCAACAACACTGCTCTGCTCCTCATGCTTTTATGAAAAAGCACAACAGAATAGTAATGGAATAATTATCGAGGGACACTGAGGTTACAGTAAGGGAATGAATATTTAGGAAGATGAAAATGGAAACTGCTTTCCTGGTCTGAAATGACAAGCTGCATTTATCAATAGTGAATCAGATAAATTGAATAAGGTATATTTATATTTAGCCCTGTTGTTTCTTGTTTTTTCCCCAGTTGTCAGAACATTCCTCTGAAGCCTATTTCAAACACAGACCAGTGTGCCATCACAGTTCTCAGTTCTCTTACTCCTGTCACTCAACCAGCAACTTGCAGGACATGGTTTAACTTAACGGCACAATATAGGCAATCAGTATTTTGAACAAAGGTCGGATGTCAAACAGGTGTGTCACACTGCTATAATGTCACACATTATTCTCACTGTGCTGAATGAGAAATAAATAGAGAAAAGAAAGGAGTGAGCAACACAGTATATTCAACATAGACCAGTGGCTATACAATAGGGCTAATTTCAACAGTACCTTTACATTTTATATGTAATTACTATAACAATAAATACCCAGGCTCATTTGGTTCTTGAGAAATACTTCATTGTACCAAGAAAAGGCATTTTCCCTGGAGAGAAATTATTTTACATCAGAACTGTAAATCAACACTGAAACAAGTCATTTCTTTATTACCCCATGTTACAGGGCACACACAATGTTCAAGTATGCCTGAGGAACTAAATGGAGCAATTAAAAAAAACAATGGGGAATAAGAGAGATAAAATGCATTTAAAAATAAGTGAACTGGCATTGCATTTCACAAAAATTCATAAGCTCATGATTCTGGAACAATTCACTGTAAAGTGCTAACTGGTTTGAGCTGAGAAAAGCACATGTTCCCTTTGAAAGATCATACACATTACTTTATACATGGAGGTACAGTAATAGCCAGTCATCAGGCAAGCAATTACCAACCAGAAGACATGGACCTCATTTCATTTATTAGTCCTTTAATAAGATAACTGCTTCCTTAATTTCCTTGTTAATGGTAACAGCAAAAATCTTGCCACTGGTTGCTGGGACAATGCCAATTACAAATGCTGGTGTTGTCACTGTACAGTTTTCCTTCTTTCCTTGTAATTACATGCAACTGACTGACATACAGTATCAAAATCTCAAGTCAAGTCCTTCTAATCCACTTACAGATATGAATCCTTGAACCAAAGGGATGAGTGTGAAGAGAGGAGAACAATTATTGAGGAGTACAGGAGACCTTCCTATACTCCTCCTCCTCTTCCTCTCCTCCCCCTGGAAGTGGTGGGCCGGCCTGACAAAAGCACAGATCTGTCCAGCTGATGCCTGCCTTCCTACAGGTCCTGAGAATCTGCTGTTTTCCTTTGTGCCTCTCATTAGAAGGCATGATTTTAAAAAAAAAAATGAACAAAATAACAAAAAAAAAATATCTGGACGGGACTGGGTCAATAAATTTTCCCCTGCTGTCCAGCTAAAGCAGACATTCACCCTCCCACCCCAATCCTAACCATATAAAGGTAAAAACAAGTGTACTGCGGAATGGCTTTACTCCTCACAGTCTGCGGGGGGAGCTAGAGCCCCTAGGAGCTGAGGTGCGGGTGGTGGTCTTCCGGCTGTTCTGTTGTGTCTGATTCATCTTGGTGGCCGAAGGTTTCCGAGCGTCAGGCTGGCGCCTCCCCTGGGGGCCCCTCCGTTTGCCCCTTTGCCCCGCACGACCCCTTCTGGCCCCCACTGGTCACTTGCGTGAGTGCAGTGTGTCCTGGAACTTAGTGCTAGTGTAGCGGACGTGAAACCCTTTTTTGTTGATTGTATCATCGGAGCGAAACTTGATGACAATGGAGTCACCGGCTGAGTAGATCTCCTCTGGAGGCTGTCAGGAGGGACAAAACAGATTCATTTATGGATGTCAGTTTCTGGTTGTTTTAATTGAAGTGCTGTCAAACTGAACACTTCTCACATTCTGAAACTAAAGACAAATCAGTGACCATGATGAATGGCTTCTGACTGCAGAGGAGTTATTGTTCTGTAACAACCAGGGGCCATGTAAGCTTGTGGGACCAGAGCTGGCCCTTTCCTGCTTTATTCTAATTCAGGTTTTGAAGAGAGTATAAAAATATTCTGATGATTAATGGCAGGCGCACCACTACACAGAGCTAATTTCTTCCCTGAACAAAACAATTTACTGGACAGAACTTAATATATTTCTGAGAGGGGCTTGGGAATATTTTTCAGCCTGTAGTGTGACAGTGCTGGGCCACAGCAGAGGGCGCTGTTTTCTGCCCTACCAGTGACTCTCTTGTACAATTTAACACAGGGGTTTTCAATTCTGACCATCATTCTGACTAAAAAATAATCTGTGGACCACTGTTGTGGGATAGAGACACTGGATGGACACAATTTTAATTGTAGAAAGTTCCTAAATGTTATACATTTGCATGAATTTGATTATTCACACACCATGAGTACCAAATGGAAATGTGTTTTCAAAAGATTTCCACAGTGAAACTACAGCACACTATTGAATGCATGGTCAGGGACTTCCTGCAATGCCTCCGCGGACCACCAGGGGGCCACGGACCACTGGTTGAAACCCTCTGATTTAACATAATGACCTGTGTGAATATGTTTTGGATATAAAACAGTTAATTTGTCTGTCAGAATGTAGCTTTTTCTGATGTCATATCCCACTATGCCACAACACTAGAAAATACATTTGACATATCCATGTTTCCATGCTAATCTGCAACACAAAGTATTTATTTTATTCCCATTCTGTGTAGGTTAACTTAGCAGGAGTGCAAGTACATGTTTGTAGTTATTAGTTTTTATTTTTGCTTGGTTGTATGTTGCCTTTTAGATTATGTACTGTAGGTGTGCTGGCCCTTTAAGAGTGATTTTTTTTTTCTGCTGTTCATCTCCACCTGTGATTCCACCACCTGCATGACAGACCAGAGGGCCAGTTTTTGTGGCTCACAGGCCACAGCACCCTCTACAGTGTCCCAGCACTGGCATGTGACAGGCCAAAAAACTTTCCCAGGCCCTACTGATATTTCTGCTGTCTGTAGTATCAAGTCATCCATAAGGTTTACAGAGAAACTAAAGGGGAGTTAACGGCATTACATGAGCACAGAAAATATGCAACACTTGACCTGGCTGTATGTCAGGATAGTGATGTCACATGAAAATTAATTCAGAACATCGTACTGAAAAATTATTAGTTGGTTGAGGTGCTAAGGGAGCTGCCCTGTAGCTGCTGCATATCCAAGCGCTGCTACATCAGAACAGCCAAAGCTTGTGCAACCAACTGTGAAAACAGCAGACTGCTGATTAAAGCTGCCATTCCTAACATGAATAATATATCTACAACAGCCAATAAGTCCTGGTTCACTGGGAAAGGAATTTAAAACACAAGAAGAAGGCTGACAAATGTTATTATAGACCCAGCAATATGTAGTCGACAATTTAATGGAGAAAAGCCCCCAGGCTAAAAGTACGCCTCCCTGCACTATATTGAGTTTTCATCCTACTTTGAACTGAATTGTGTCAGTTTATTTCGACCTGTTTTATAAAAGGAAACTTGATTGAGGAGCTGCTCTCCAGGGTTCTGAGGGTGTTATGTCCCCTCCAGCGAATGATTCAGAGGAACAGGCTTAAGTAAAAGGCCAGAGCTTATTACTGAAGTGTGTAAATGAAATCAAGCTGTTCTCTGACCTGAGGAAACTTGAGTTTCTATTCCCTGCTGGCCTCATTGTTCCAGACTCTGGCCACAGCCTCAACATCGGCTGATTAATTCACAGTTACGGCCCAGTGGCAGAGACTCTGATATCTGCTACCAGTATCCAGGGAGTGACAGCATGTGTTGCCATAAAACCGCCTCCACAGCAGTACTCCCAAAGATGTCAACTTTAACAGAGTGATTAAAG